GGCTCAGCTCCTCCTGGGACTCAGAGCACGGGTGAAGAAAGACATTTGACGTGCGTGTGTTTGTGCCATTCGGTTTGATTTTTTTTTTTACTCAGAGCTAAAATGTTTCTTGCAGGTTCTTCTGGAATTGTGTCATTCCAAGCAGATCGTAGACACAGAATCCGTTGATATTCACCTGGACCGGATAAAGACCCTCATATCGACGTGGACAGCACAGGTTGGCTCATTTTAAAATGTGTTAGTTAACTGTATTGCATCACAGTATTTGAACATAAACTACAACTTTGCTTTGTTTTGTTTCCTCAGCCGTGTTTCACAAATATCAGTTTTCCTGAGACGAAATTTGTGGATCAAGTCAAGTTGTTTTTAAAAGATCCTGAAGAAAAGGATAAGTTCTTCCAGGTGTTTTTTTTTTTTTAAGATTTTGCATCTAGCACATAAAGCACCACTAACTAAAAAAATGTTGTGTACTTAAACGCTGGTGTATAACCTGTGATTGTTTGTCCCCAGGATGTTTTCCCTGCAGATTTTGGACCTGATTATGACAACGCTCTGCAGATGCTGATGTTGGACTTCCTGTCCAGAATGGAGAAGCTTCTCCCAGTACCAGACATTCAGCAGGTAGCAGAGCTACTGTTAGAAACAGAACCTTTTCAGCCTCACTCGCCTCCTTCAATGGTTTACCGTATTATCCACCATACGCGTTGCACCGCCCTATAAGTCGCATCAGTCCATATTTGTCTAAAAAAGTGAACAAATCCATAAATATGTCGCTTCGCCGTATATGGCTCATCTATTACGTGTCACTGCTGACAACCCGGAAATGTGGCCCGGTGTTCAAAAATCGATGGGCTGCCAAATGGCGGGAGCGTGCGCAGGAGGACTTTAACAAAATTAACACTTAAAAACAATTGTTTGTTTGCTCCACATTATAGCAAAGGTGTGTCTCAGTTGAACTTTTCCTCAATAAATTCACTTTAATGGTCAAATCAGCTGCATCCGCTGCCTCGGTTCTCCTGGGAGCATGCAGAGGGAGGAAAAAAGGAGAAACGCTGCACGTTTCTTCAAAATTTAACAAGAAAAGCACCTAAATTAATTATTTGTTTGCTCAAAATTATCATAAACGTGTATCTCAGTTGAACTTTTACTTAATAAATGCACTTTAATGGTCAAATTACAGTAGCTGCATTTCGCCGCTGATATTACTACTCTGCTGCCATCTAGTGGCGGAAAATGATACTGCTACAACAAAGTCCATTCTCAATAATCCAGGAATACAGTCCAACATTTTTCAGTCAGGTCATCTGGACGGTTTCTTTTTTTTATGCTACTGCTACATTTTTTTTCAGTCAGAATGAATGAAAACGGTCATATCTCAGCCAAAATTTGGTTTGTAAATATGGGAAAAAAGTCCATAAATATGTCGCTTCGGTCTAGAAGTGGCAGAGCATGTAAATTCTGCAAAAAAAAAAGTGACTTATACAATGAAAAATATGGTATTTGATCTGAAACTCCTAACCTTCATAGCGTTTACTCCTGACGGATGGAGTTTTATTATTGTTGTTCAACTATTACTGAAAAGAAATGCGCCTCTGGACAGTACCTTTAATACTTAAACCCAGATTGAATAAATCAAGATATTTAAGATGATCAATATTAAAATGAAATGCATGATCAACACGCTTTGAGCTCAGTTTCTGATTTTTGTGTTCTCTGCCTTTCAGACCGCCTCCATGCTCAGTGCCATCCCCGCCGCCCTGGAGGAGTGCGCCGACTCAGTACCCGACCCCCACAACTTAAAATCTGTGCTGCATTATCACGTGACGCTCGGACATTTTGATTTCTCTGGTGAGTCTGCTTGTTTCATCTTTTTTTTACTGGTCACAAATTGAGCAGCAAAAATGTTTAAAACACATTTTCTAACAGCTGAGTAACAGATCCCAAACTGTTTTCTTCATTTCCTCCACAGATGAAACTCAAACCATTTCATCCGCAGTTGGAAACTGCATCCTGTCGTCGCTGTCCCTTCCTCAAGTGGAGAAGGTCTTGATCCATCCTGACCAAATTGAGTCTCCATCAGACCAGCTGCAAGACTGCCTGACTGTCAAAGTGGAGAATGAAACGGTGACCCTGCTGGACTACATTCAGATAGAGCAGCCTCCCAGTCCTGTTGAGCCCAGTGATCACCAGGAAACTGAAGTCAACGTGAGGAGAACAGCGGAGGAAGCAGCAGCAGCAGCAGACAAGGTTTTAGGCGACGCCTTAAAGCCTGCAGCTTTTCAGCCGCTGAAGCAAAGCAAGAGACTGCGGCTGAAACGAAGAATTTTAAAAGCAAAGAACGATTCAGTTAGAGCTAAGAAGAAACGAAAAAAACACCCCGACACTAAAACGTGTCCTGTATGTAATAAGACGTTCCTGCGAGCTGCAGCCATGAGGCGACACAGGGACATTCACAGTGCAAAGCAGAACTTTAGGTACAAGTGTGGCAGCTGCGACAAACGGTTCAGGGACCAGTATGACTTAAACAGACACACGATGCGCGTTCATCTAAAGGGAGAAGGTACTGACGAGATCAAAGACAAGGAATCGGAAGAACCCAGCACTTCTGAGGTGTTAGAAAACAAAAACTGCTCTGTGTGTGGGAAATACTTCGCCCGGCAAGGCGATATGGAACGACACGTTAGGTCCCATTTAAAGGACCGACCGTACAAGTGTTCCTTCTGCGAGAAGACTTTCAAGAGCCCTTACGTGTTAAAAAGACACGAAAAGCAGATTTGCAAGAGCAAGGAGAACAAGCAGCCGGAAAAGAATGCGAAGCCGCGCTCTAATCCGCAGGCAGAACAGAACGAGGAGCCGCGCTCCGATCCTCAACCGGAGGAGGACGAGGAGCCACGCTCCGATCCTCAACCGGAGGAGGACGAGGAGCCGCGCTCGGATCCACAGCCAGACAACAACGAAGAGCCACAATCGGATCCTCGGACAGAAAAAAACGAACCTCGCTTAACTCTCCCCGCAGAGAAACCGCAGTCCAATTCCCATTCGTCTTCAGACAACTCGGAAAAAGTTAAAGTCTGTCCCATCTGCTGCAGGATCCTTCACCAGTCCAGGGACCTAAAGAAGCATTTGCGATCCCACTCTGAAGAGCGACCCTTCGTCTGCGTCACATGTGAGAAGGGCTTCAAGTACAAAGACACGATAAAGAAACATCAGACTCTCAAAGGTCACGAGGGCATCAAGGTGGAGCAGTGCAAGAAGCTGGAACAGATGTTTGCTGGCGTTACTTCTCAGACTTTGGACGGCGGCGATTTACAGGAGAAGGACCAGAGTTCGGAGGCGCCTGCAGACACGTCTGTGGAGGGTCCGTTTGCACCTGTACCCAGCATCACTAACAAAAACCTTAAGGTGTGTCCGGTCTGCTCCAAAACATTTGTTAGATTCAAAGAATTGAACCAGCACATCCAGAGCCACATGGTAGATTGGCCGTATCATTGCATCCATTGTGAGAGACGTTTTAAACACTTGGACGGGCTTAAACGGCACCACCTGTACGCCATTTGTCGTAACAAAAACGTCCGCTTCCTGCGAAAAAAGAGGCCGAGTGAAAGCGACGCGAGCAGTCCCAGCCGTCTGCCAAAGATGCCTGTCTGGTGCTCAAACTGTGGGAAATACTTTCAGGAGCTGTCGGCCTTAAAGGAGCACCAGGAGAACGTTTGTAACGTCGATTTGGGCGTTTTAAAGAAATGTGACGACTGCGGGAAAGAGTTCAAGACCATGACGACGCTCAAAGTGCACCAGAGGATTCATAACCCGCTCTTCTGCAAAGAGTGCAAGAAGGTACTTCCGGACAAGCCCGCCTTTGAGAGGCACAAGCTAATGCACAGGCCGGTGCAGTGCACGGTGTGCGGCGAGACTTTCACCGTGCTGAGACGCTTGAGGGAGCACTACGAGAAGCAGCACAACTTCACTGGACCTTTTTCTTGTCCCGATTGTGACAAAACCTTCACCCTGCTGTCGTACCTCGTTATGCACCAGAGAGTGCACAACGAGGTGTTTCCTTTTGTTTGTGACGTGTGTCAGGAGAAGTTCAGGACCTCCAACTGTCTGACGGTTCATCAGCGGAAACACACCGGGGAGAAACCCTTCCTTTGCTGGCAGTGTGGGAAAGCGTACCGCTCAGCCTCTGAGCTCACGGTCCACATGGGCACCCACTCAGAGGAGAAACCCTGGGTGTGCACGCAGTGCGACATGGCTTACCGCACGAAGATGCAGCTCAGAAACCACGTGGAGCAAGTTCACATCGGCGTCAGGTACCCCTGCACCACCTGCGGGAAGCAGTTCATGAAAGAGATGTCGCTGAAGCGGCACGAGCTCCTCCACACCGGCGAGCGGCCGTTCCCCTGCAAAGTCTGCGACAAGCGCTTCCTGACCAGCAACGAGCTCCTGCGGCACAGCAGATACCACACCGGCGTGCGCCCGTACAAGTGCGACGAGTGCAGCAAATCCTTCATCCAGTCAAGCTACTTGAAGATCCACATGCGCCTCCACACCGGAGAGAAACCATATAAATGTGACAAGTGTGATAAAAGCTTCAGGTTGTCCAACAGCATGGTCAAGCACAGACGGACTCACTTCAGGAAAACGAAGGACTTTGTTTGTGAGGAGTGCGGGCTGATTTTCCTCCAGAAGAAGCTGTTGCTGGAACATTCGTTCACTCATTCAATCGCACCGGAGAATATTGAAGCCTCGTTTCCTGCTGAAATTGAGATACATTTTGATTAAAGTCCTCATTTTTAGTTATGAACTTGTTTATCTTTATGATATCTGTTTTACAAACTCTCAAACTTTGATTTTGTCTGGTTTGTCTAATTATCCTTATTCACAAATGATTGATGACATGGCTGAACATTTCTGCTTCTGTAAGTTTCTTATATTAAACTGGTCTTGAATTATGTATTTTGTTTTATTTCTTGAATAAACAAGGAAAGTTTTAGACATGGACAAGTTAATATTTCTTCAGTGATTGGCGAAATGACTCAAATTTTTTTTTTTTGCCTCGCTGGAGATAAACGCCCACTTTGACCCAGAAATTACAAGAAAATGAAATGGATGACTTCATAGTTTTCCTTTTGTTTGGAAGCAATTCAAGCAGTAGTAGACAAGTTTTTAGGTAAATTAATGTACAATTCTAATATTTTAATTCAGAAACTTCAAATAATATAAACTTCATGTAAAAGTTATGTTCTTTTTAAATCTGCTAATCCAATAAGTCCTTGGATAAAATGATCTAGAACAGATGGGAAAGTTAAAAAAAAAAGCCTGATTTTCATTACTATTTCCTGCTGGATCAATAAAGGTCTACCCTATTTTATTTTTATATTTTGACTGCTTGATGGCACCTCATTTATTTATTTATTATAACCACATTTCTAAATTTTGGAATGAAATAAATGTTAAAAATTGGAGACTTGGTTCCGTATAATAATAATAAAATAAAAAGATTAGATGCCTATTTAAAACGATATCTCGCATTTCCACAGTTAGCCTCTAGAGGGCGGTATTGTGCAGTGTAGGCCTTAGATAGCTTGTCAATTACCAGAAGAACAAGAACATATTTACTTTCCATATATGGTTACAGGTACATTTGAACAGAGTCGTTTATGGATTTTAACGCAAATAAATGTATTTAAAACGTGTCCGACTATTTAAAAATTATAACTGACATCAACAGCTGTATAAAACCGACTTTATGCGCCACGCATGCGCACTTTGAGCAGACTACCAAGCCGCTCTTCCTCCGCTAACTCGCGCCGCAGGGTCGGGCGGACGTTGACTCACAACATCCCCGAGTTGATTTGCTTTTCTAGGTAAATATTGTCCTGTACGATATGGAAAGCCCGCAACATATCAGAGATGGTAAGACAATGAGAGATTTAACAGATATTCGCGGTAACGAGTTATATGTTTTTATTTTTGGGTGTGTGCGTCCGATTTTGAACATGGCGTACCCCGTTTTGAGATGGCGGTTGGTTTTGCGCTGTGTTGCACCGCCAGCGGGGAAGTTGGTGTGTGCGCTCGATTTAAAAAGGAGCTTGAACCCGTCCTTAAAGTATCCCAACAAGAAATAGTTTCTTTATAGTTTTTTTCATGGTATTTAGTTGGTTGACATTATCGTTGTTAAGTTAATGACTACTATCGTAAGCGCAAATGGTGCTTTCGAGACTACAACAAATATAGCTAAAGTTAGCTTTAAGCTAAAAACATCTGGCACCTAAAAGCAAGCCAAACATAAACTCTGCACATCGACCGGTACTTTAAACTGAGGTGGTGTGAAAAATAATCACTTTTAGAGTGCTACTGACGTGGTTAGCCCAGTAATAACAGCAACTTCCTCTACTAAAGCACTGCTGTTGTTCGCTTTTACGACACGTTTTTGTGTTCGTGAACACACCAGACCAGGGCTGGCTAAGAAAACTGGTTTGTCCTTATTAAAACATTAACCAGTTTCTAATGTAAAGTAACCTAAAAGTAATTATTGTTCCGAAGCAAGACCAAAATCTGATCCTTAAATAATTATTTTACGTCTGCCATGCATCATTAAATATGAAATATTTTAATAAACAAGGTGATGTTTTTCTAAGAAAAGTTTTGTCTTTAACTGCAAAAAAAACCAACGTTAAAAATAAATAATTATTTCAATTTTTTGTGAAATTTATTGAGAACATTTCAGAATGACTTGCAGTGACCGGTTGCAGTTTTACCAATGTGTATATTTTCCAGATCCCCCTCTCCTGCTGCCGTCCCTTCGCCTCTTCATTCCG